ATTGGACTATTGTCAGTGATAATGATTGATTATAAATTCTAACATGTACTATAACTATTGTACCAAATGTAGATGTCCGACAGACGCGATAGATATGCTAGATATACTCATAGCTTGATGTTTTTACAAATATTTGGGTTTGTCCGTGAATATGATCATACCCCAAGAGTTGTGCATGCATGAATGTTTGTAAAATCAATGCAATTCTGAAGCTTTCCTCGCCTTGTCGTTTATATAATCACTGGGCGTGGCATTTTAACAAAAAGTTTATATAAACCCCTTAAACGTCTAATATTTACACAGAAAACACGAGTTTAGGACCATACATAGCTAAACTGAGAAATTAGTCATGGCTCTTTGATCTAGATCCCCCAAACCCAAATGTTAACATCCACTTTTCGCAAACAACAGGACATCGCATTTAATACAACAATAAAATACAGTGATATTATTTTATTATACGTTGAAAAGTAGAACTATTAAATTAATAATGCAGTTGCCGTTAAGACGTTTTGTAATGCCATGCTAGACCTCTCAGTCATTTTCCAAAGTCTAATACGTGTTTCACAGTGACTCGTGGTCCGCCCCGGCAGACTGTCCCACTCTGGGGCCTACCTGGCCGCTCCTATAGGGAGGGTGTCGGTGTTAACAATAGATTGATGAAGAGAATTAACGTTATCGTTAGTTCGACGCCTTGTTTGATAATATCTGTGTTAAGAGTGCCAGGAATTAGGGATATGCTCGTAAACAAGAATTGTCGAGGTCGCGCGTGAGTGAGTTCCGGACTCCACCTCGGCACCTTATCTGATATAGCGATATCTCGTCAAATACATGATCCGGCAAAACGTGATATACGAACCGAGTTTTATGTGTAAATATTGTCAATTATCTATTTATGTATTTTGAAATTAATATTGTACAATTATTTAAATTCAACCCGAGGAAAGAAAACATACCTATTGATGCTTAATGCCGAGATAAATTACTTCAGAAAAAGGGTGATAAATCTTTCGGCGTCAGGGAATACATCAATTGTATAAGGATGGGACCAGTATAGAGCGACTGTCCATATGTATACCTGCTGTTACCCACTACATGTTGTAAGAGGTAACTAATGTGGGAAACCCTGCAAAATTGTAAATTTGCTTCATGTCCTTTACTCTGGGGTACAAGAGTGGTCAAAATAAATCTACTATCTACATTGCAACATTTCGTATTTTTTGCTCTAGACTTTATCAGAACCTTTTTTTCCCGTAGCGCCTCACTTGGCAGTAACTCAATGTTGGCCTTGGTGGTTAACGTTCGCACGGTTAGGGAAAGCAATGGGTTTTGTCCCCATGTCGGGACCACAGCGCGTGCTGAAACATGCAGTGTTGGTTGGTTTAGCGAAAAAACTGGCTGCACTTCCAGCCAATCAGATTCACACCACGGGTCTCGGCATGTGGCTGACGTCAACCTCGTTTATATTCAAAAAAGTGGCAGGCTGACTGCGAAAAACTTTGAAACTCTGAAATTGTGTGTGTTTTTGGAGGAAACGGAGTTCAAGTCCGCGGAAGGAGAATACATTTTACGTGCATGTAGGAGGGTTTTAAAAGAATAATTATTCATCTTTCCAACGGTACTAAGCATTTGCCCGAAGATCAACTAGAAATGTTGTTTTTGATGCAAGAAAGTTAGGTGGGGTCGACATTTCGACATCGAGAGCTTTCCTCCCTTCTCCGTATATGTGATCATTGGGGGGTGGGGTGGGGTGGGGGCTTTTTACTGAAATTCGATCTAAACCCCTACACCCTGTAAAATGACTCTGAACACCTTAGTTTAGGTCCACATATATAGCTGTAACAAATTCTCAGGTCTCTGTGGCCGGGACATATACCAAAGTCCGTGGACATGGTAGCGTTATTCCCTGCTAAACGTGTATGCTAACATGTATAGGGTAATCACAACAACAGGTTGTCCCGTTGTCAGTATATATTGTAAACTTATTTTGTGACCAAATGCAATACTGTGCTGTGTGCCTTCATCATGGTATTTCGGCGAGGTATCCTTCTAAAGTCGGCATCAGATCCGCACTATCGTAATGAGGCGAATACACCAATATACCGTCTCCAACAAACATGCACGCATACATCACACATAGAAGCATGTCTCTATAGGATATGTGACCTTGAAATTGTAATTTTGTTTAACTCTTCAAGGCTTTTATTTTACAACTATAAACGATGTATATCAACTTATTATAATCACTCTTGTTGGCTGGGATGTTAGCGCACAGGGGGTCTTAATGTGGTAGGAAACCCGGGCTCCCCGAGAAAACCCACGTGGTCGGACAAGTGACCCCATACCTTTTCACGATTGGGGAATCGAACCCCGGCCGTCTTGGTCAGAGGCGATTCCGCCTTCCACTGCGCCACCCGACAATATCCATTGTCAGCTTTAAGTTATATACATTAATAAGGCTATTATATATGTACATGTATCGCGATATCTGAACACAGGACCATTATTTTACATCCCCGTCCTCCAGTTTAACTAAGACACAAGACGTTAGCCATTTAAATATATATATGAAGTCCCTCCCCAAATCCTATCCCAGGACGCGATGAGATTGAGGTTTACGGCACGCTCTCTCATCACTTGTCAAGGATAAGTTACCCATCAGGTTATAAAAATACAGACCTGACAAGTTAATAAAAAGTCTGAAAGCTCCGCGCGAAACACGATCACACCACTTAAAAATACAATGATTGCAGACCGACTTAGATACGAACCGGAATACTAAAACTTAGTATATTTGTCCAATACCAGACGTTTCCCTGCTTGAAGTGCGAGACTTATTATTCACACGGCCATGGTCAAGAAATTTAAGCGGATTAATATGACAGCACTGTGTTCAGCAAAAAGAATTAATATGGATGAAGTGTTCATATTTTTATATTGTTTCTGATTTTTAATATGTTGGAATAGTTTTCTATCACGCTAAGCTGGCGCAGATCAGTGAACTAGTGTGATTTAAGTAGTAATACATAGATGTTCGTGCGTCATAACAGGCACATGTGGTCATGATATACCGTAGAAAGGTATAAATTATATAATCATTGTGAATTTAAGAAAAAAATTCAATGAATGTCTCAAACTTATTTTGAGTTACTTTCATTTTTATTTTTGAAAGTTCATTTGACTAACATAGCAAGATAGCATGCTAGTTCAATCGGTTACTTCGCAAAATCGGTCGTTAGGTGCAATAATTTCAGTGGTCCTGTGTGCAATGTCAAATAGGGAACTGTGGAAAGAGAAACTCCTAATTTAAGTGTAGGGACAGCAATTACGAATCTAAACACATTTTTAAATTATTCTTCGGTTTTTGGCATTTTTGAAATGGAATGAAGATGATTCCTAGTCTAAAAATTGAAACCGATTGATTCAAGAAAGATAACTCTTATGAATATGGTCTCTAAAATTCGTGTATTTGGTGGTCGGCACAATAGGTTTAAGTTCTTTGGACAATTTTGTTAATGAAAGAGAAGTGTTAATGTTTTTTTGTGTTTTTTTGTATTTAAAACCATGTTCTCCTTAAAAATTTGAAATACAAGTGTTCGGAAGGCGCAGTGGGAAGCGCAATCGCCCTCAACAAGGCTGCCGGGGTTCGACTCCCCGACCAGACGTGAAAAGGTATGTTCTCCAGGTCCTCTGGTTTCCTCCCACATGAAGATCCCTTCGAGCTACCATCTGGGGCAACGAGAGTTTTTATATTTTCAAATAACACACAATTTTGCAATGTTCAGATTGACAACACAGTGGCGGATCCAGAATTCCCTGGAAGATTTCAACAGATAACGATAAATACGTTTGATACGCACCCATTTTAAACAAACTGTATTTTTCAATAATTTTGATAACTAAAATCACAATTACGTCTACTTTGAATTTCATCCGTTCGGCGAAAGTCATAACAGGCGCGAGAATAAAGTGAACCGCAAACGGAAGGGGGAAAAAACCATGAGAACCATCTCCGACGGAATTGAAAAAATACCCTCATAACAGAATTTAGTGTTTTTAGTCATGGCAAACAAAACACAATCGCATATGCACCATTCTAACGACAAACTTTAAAATATACATATAAATTAACAGGAGAAGAGAAAAACTGCTTCTATCAGATCGATCAGGATAAACAAATCATTTGTGTCGCCTGGTAGTGTTAAAATCATATCATATCAAACTCATTATAAGGCTGTGTCATCATAATAGTTCCTATACATACTTATTAGCATACATGCATATACACTGCACGACTAAAACATAATTATATTTCAATACTTACAGCTAACCTTGTTTGTGTTGTATTTCTTTTCCATTTTCTGCTTTTGAAGTGAAAATGCATTTAAAATGGCTGTCTTTGGACAACGTGCATGCAACCAATGGATTTGCACATGCTCGTTCAAATTCGACAGACATGCGTGTTGATTTTGTGGGCGAAATGGATTGATTGACGCTGACAGACTCGGGATTTGATTGACAGAAACAGGCTTACATGGCAAGACATTGAACAAAATATTGATGAAATTAACAATGAAATGTTTGAATAAAAAATTTGAGCACTTAAAAGTAATGAAAATTAAATAAATTCCAAATATGGCAGATTTTGATTGTACAATCGGTAGAGCGGCAGACTTGGATGCTGGGGTCGCGGGTTCGATCCTAAGTGGAAGCACATTACTATTTTTTCTGTTACAAAAAAAGGACAGGGGCCACGACAAAACATAATAAGTGAGATGTCTTACAAGACAAAAAGGTCACACGGCAAATGCAAAATAATTGTACCGTGAAAGATGCAGTTCCAAACAAAAGTTTACATAAAAATAAGATTTAGCATACTTTATAAAAAGTGTTGATATGATCTCAAATTCTTTACTTTGATAAAGACAGGTGCCCTACTAAGTGGGGTTTAAAATTCCCGCCAAACAAACAGGAAGTATTATATTTTGACGCAACAAGTCTACGCATGTAGTAACAAATGGCGTGCATAGTTTTTCCGGTCTAGATTGTTTACCTGTAACTTTCTGATTTTGTGACATTCCACACAGGTAAGGCTAGATTTGGAAAATGTTTTTGTTCAGAGGATTAAGAAAATATGTTATCTGTATTTAAATATGTATATTATCACTGTAAAATGTCAGAAACGTAGATTATTGCACAGGTGTATTCATTGAAAAATATGAATTATGAAAAGCTGAAACAATGTTTTACAATAACGTGTTTTTGGGAATACAGTATTTGATGCCAAAGCACTGTCAGAAGCATTTTTGCCTACAAGAGAGAAAGACATTTGTGTTAGAACGATAATTTTATGCAAAGATTTGAAATATATCCATTGAATGTCTACATCTGTCACATCGTCAAGGTAAACAATCCGTTTCAGTTTTTTTGACAGATCGTGACAATGATGATTCGCGGTGAACAATGCTCTTGTAATTGATACTACATTTGGTTGATTACTTGAAATGCTAATATACTTAAGTCAGAAACATCAAGAAATTCAATGACATCATGATCAGTTACAAATAGAAAATGCATCGGGTCTAGGTCAGGATTTTAACCGGGGACATTTTAAATCTACACGACCAACAGATCAACCAGCTCATCTCTTTTCTACGTTTTCCTTCCTGACGACACCAAGTTGTGCAATATCACACAGCCTAGTTGCTGTCAGCAAAGAATGCCTAATACTGTAACAGGATCACACCACTTAAAACACTTTCACCGGGGACCGAACCCTCGATCTCCAGGTTCCTAGTCAGGCGCTCTACCACTGAGCTAAAGGGAAATTCCCTCTAGCTCGAAGCTAGAAGGCGACCGTAAACCTATGTACAACTATAAAATCTGCCACACTACTCCCCCCTTTTTAAATGTGTTCGCCTCTAACACCACAACCCAGGTTCTAACTCCCTCTCACCACAGGGAGGGCCACGGACACCATTTGTAACAGGAAGGAGAATAGTGTGCTTCCACCGAGGATCGAGCACTTTTTTTGTAATCATATTTTCTTGTCCAAAGGACCAGTTAGGTTAGGTAATTCACTAGTCCTTGCTGAAATCTACTAGTCCAGGACTAACGAACTAGTGTTAGTGTCGATCCCTGTATATCTGGTTCTTATGTTAAACATATAATTACTTAAAGTAATAACAAATACACATAACAAGATAGTGAGAACCGGTACCAATTTAACCATATCTAGACTTTGAACAGCAGTTGTTTGTATTTTGTTTCAGATTTGAATTTTGCTGCATCTAAGTCACAAACAACAGCCATGTCTCGCCGTTCGAGTCGATCGTCCATATCCGATGGTGAACTCATCTTAGACTGTAAGGCAGCGTATAGGGAGGTCTTAGACGACATCAGGAAAGACATCACAAGCAAGTCTGTTCTCCTTCAAGGTACCGTATTTCTGTTTCATTAGGACTCTTTCAACTAATAACTTTACAAGACAAAGACAACATCAAAAGTGATGACGTTATATACCGCAATGTTGTCGTTTGTAATCTATCTTCTGATTGACTGAATTTGTTCAGTGAAGAAATTACAGTGCAATCTTTGTTTTGCGCAAAGTTGCTTTTCGTTTTTATCAGAAATGAGTTAATATTCATCAACTATGCTCTTAAAAGTGTTGTCTGTGTTTTGAAATTCAATTATAAGGAATAACCAGGATTATTTTCAGTGTTGAACAATGCCAAACAAAATGACACTGGGGAAAAAATAATTACATCATAATAATTACCATAACCTAAAATGGCACAAACATATTGGGAAGCCATTCTTTTGTCATTTTGTTGATAAGATCAGTGTATTTTGCAACAGATATGTTCCGAATAAACAAGAATTCTTGATATTTACTACAAAACTTTTTATATTGTCACAGTTTGAGATACAATATTGAAGACTTTGTTCTTGGCAGATTATATATGTTGACAGATTTGTCTTTAATACCGTAATACGGTAATAGCCGTTTAATTTGACCTAAAACAACATGAAGTTATCAATCATCATTCATTCAACTGATTCCTGTCGTAATTTGTATAAATAACAATGAAGAAATTATATAACTCTTTCATGCCCAAGGCTGTAGGACAGGGAATTTTCACTGTAGGGGTTTCGCACCTATTTGAAAAGCCAGAGTGTAGAATTTCCTTATTATAATGCCTCTGGTACGAACAAGTATCTTCCTCTTATTCCAATCACCACGATCAGCTCAGAAACAACAAAACTGCATTGCGGCATCAGAATATTTCTCAATTTTATGACGTCATACGCGTGATTAGAATGTAAGATAGAAATTTCTTACACCCCTTTATTGCCATAGACAGTTCTGTTATATATACACAAGAATAAGGGAAATCATTTCTCTAAGTGGCAATGATTCAAGACTAACAAGACACAGATTGATGAAGTAAATTTTACGATTGACAGAATTCTTTTGAGTAGATGAATATAGAAATTGGGCTACGTCATTCTAGTATTTAATATTGACATAATATTTGTGAAATACATGTCAACATGCTATACAACACTTAAGATTTGTATAAGGTAGCTGCTTGCTGCAATATTTGATTCCAGGTTGAGCCCTGTTATCTAATACATGTATTGAAATTAGTATATCTTATTTTTAATTTCAGCATTACAAGAAACGGGCAGAAATCCAACTGAACGCGTGTTAAAGAAATACTGGCGCTCTGATACTGGTAAATTCTCTCAGTGAAATTTAAAGTTTTACATTTTAAAAATATTTAAGTAAAAGACAAAAATGCAGATTTAAAGGTGTTTGCTAGGGACATCCACTTGTATAACTCCATTTTTCTGAAAAAATAGATTCTACAAGGTTTGATAAAAAATTTATAATGATAAAAGAAATAAGGCTTTATTTATGATAATTAAAATAGATTATGATTTTCCATTAATATATATACCAGGTGTTATTTTTTACTTTTTAGGTCACCTGAGCTTTAGCTCAAGTGACCTATTGCNGTCAGCTGATATTCCCATATTGATTTGTGTTTTTCAGAGGGCCTGTCATTTGACGATTTCGTCGATATCTGTCGTAAGGAGCCTGTCACAAGTGAAGAAGAAATTATGAAAGCCTTTCGTAAGATTGACACTAATGGAGATGGTTTCCTGTCCTTGGAGGAACTCTTCAAAATTATGACCTCCGTAAGAAACAAAATATGCAGAAATAGGGCAATGGGGTTCCAAGCCTTTTTGAGCTTCATATTTCAGCTTTGCTTCAGATATGCAATTTAATTTCAGGCCTAATAAAAAAAAAAATCCATTTTAGTTTCCCACTCGCTCAATAATCAGTAATTTGGTTTCACCAACTCTGAAAAAAATAACTTCTTTTTGACTTGCACTCATAGATGTAATTACTGTTTTACAAAATTATTTTTCAAAATTAAATATTTTCATTTTTGCGAACCGTAAAAATTGCGAATGAATAGTTTTCCTACAGTAAAAGGAATCCTTAAAGTAAAATATCCATCTAACAATCACAATAGTTTTCTTTTTCTTTGTCACCTGTGAGGTTTTTTTGACTGAACTCCTGATGATGGAATCAGCGCGTATAAAGAAAAGAAAAAAAGGAAAGGCAGCAGAAAGTAAAAAGATATAATTTTGTTTTGTTTTTGTATTTTATCTTATCAGCAAGATCTTTTACAATTAGATAAGAACCCAAGTTATTGTTTACAATAAACTTTGTTACTCATTACAGAAAGGAGAAAAGATGACAAGGCAGGAAGTCCGGGAAATAATAGATGAGGTTGATGAAAACGGCGACGGTAAACTGGATTTCAAAGAGGTTTGTGTTCACTACTATGTGTTTTCATTCTTATTTTTTCTGTATTTCAGTAGTTTAGAAAAAAATCTTTCTGGAGAAATATAACCTTTTACATAAGATGATTTTTCTTTAGAACAGATGTGTGAAATTCTGAAGGAACAGAAAAAACATCATTTATATATCGTACTTGGTTTCAACATTCATTCATTTATTGAAAAATTTGTGAAAAAATATTGTAGACAGCAGGGCCTTCAGTGGACCCTTGAAAGTACCTTTTTTGACTCTTCTAAATTAGATTTGACTCTTGGGTTTGAAAAGACATGTGTTTTGACCCTCCCAAATTCAGGGGAAATGATATTTGATTTCTTAATTTGCTAAAGGGTATGAGGGTTAACTGAAAGCCCTGCTCTGGAAAATTGTTCATACGTTCAGAAATTCAAATAGGTGAGAAAAAGTAGGTGAATAACATTTTCGATTCATGATGTGAACATCGTTTTGTTTCAAAAAATAATTCTGCATATTAAGACAATAGGGTCTGAACTTTTAAATTCATTTTCAATGCAAAACTACATATCTTGCAATGTGATTACTAAGTGTATAATCCTCTACTGTCAATTTCAAGATATCTATTTCTGTAATCAATTTCAATGTTAATTTTGTTATCGCTTCAATTGTATCTTTCTCTTCAAAAATCTTCAGATGATCACAGATAGCATCTATTAATAAATACTCAGAAGCTAGCTGGGTTTTTTTTTTTTATAAAAATCAGGTTTCTTATTCCTGTGTGTGCATGTCTTTTTTTGTCTTTTTTTTCCCATTCTAATATCAAAATGGCCAACTATATTTATGTTATAGAGGAAATTTTACTATGAACAGGTAAAACCATTTTGTGTCTATAACCACCCCACATGTTATGAGCCAATTCCCTTGTTGCAGAAAAATGCATCTCATTTTTTTTTTGGCAATGCTTTTTGTTCATTGTGGAATGTTAGTTACCTTCAGCACCAGTGTTTGACACAGGCCAGAAATAGGCTGGCCGGTCCAAACATTTTTTTTTATCTGGACCAGTCAAAACTTTACTGGCATAAAATGTGTCATACTGGCCCTGTTGAAATATGAAAGAAGAAATGTATGTAAACACACGGCAGACAACCAACCTATAAGGTGTTAACTATAAATATTAATGTACTTACTAAATGTATAATTTTGGGCCTACAAGCTTTAAATACAATCATGTTCATGTGCAGGTTTTGGACTTTGGTCACCATGCACAGGACTTTGGGCCAGCCATTGTGTCAAGCATTGGTCGATCAGCTTTGTAAATGTGACTTGGATAAGGCAAGGAAAAGAATGGTGTCCTGTATTGATTTATTTTTATTTTTGGATGCGGTGTACAGCATTCATAGCGGTTCTCGCCAAGCTTGGGCAAATCAAAACCAAACGACAGACTTTCTTCTTCCGCGGAAGATCTTTAAATGCTGTGTTGATTATTTCATGGTATGAATAATGGTATAAAATGATGAAATACATATGAAAACGATCAATAAATCAAAGAAAAAATGTTAAAATTTTACAAAGGCAAGTTTTTTCAGTGAGCATCATGAACAATATCAATATCGGATAACTACGCTTTTTGGACCGAATAATTTCTTCACAAAAAAACCACAACACTTTATCTCCTTCCGCGAAAGATCTTTAGATAATGTGTTCATTGTTTTAAGATATGATCAATGCTATAATATGGTAAAATATATCCGTATTAGACAAAAAAATCAAAGAAAATATGTAAAGATCTTTAACAGTGGCGTTTTTTAATCAGTGAAAGTTCCGAACTATATTTGGTTCAAATTACTGCGCCTCGTATTCCAATACTCTAAAGTGTGTGTGTAAGAGTTTTCTCCCCTTGTCCATCATTGCATAGTTTCATGCTCGCGACTGTTTGATAACTGTCCTTGATAAAGTAGGCTTCGTGTTTTCTTTGTCTCAAAGGAAAGTCTCCAAGTGATAGAGAATGTTGACTTATACTAAAGTAGCCGTCAGCAGCTGTGCCAAACGAGTTTATAGATAGCTTCCCAATACAGTCTCTAGATAATGGCCCGATTAGTATAATACAAGTGCTTCGTGAATATAGCATATTGAACATCAAACATTAAAACCGTATATACATATTATTCACATTAACCAGAAACTGAATAATTATATAGGTCTTTAACCTTCGTTACAATATCGAGAGAAGGAGAGATACACAAGGGACTTGCATAAGTCCTGTCCATGATTACACGCACTGGAAATAATACAATCTCGTTTAAATTTTAAATAACTAATCAAGATTATAACAAATTGTAATAATAATATCATAATTATTTATTTATATTATCTATATAACATTTTTTATTTTTTATTTAATCGTAAACTTTCCAATAATCTTACAGGACAATTTTGGTTTGCAGGTTGTTTGGTCAAGGTCACTGTTACATTTTTTAAAAAGATCATTGTCTGCGCTGTAGCAGCTTCATTCCTTGAAGGATTTCCATCGAGTTGAAACACTAATTAAGGACCATAATATCAGACAAGTTTCAATTGTTTTAGCAATACTCTGCTTGTATTAAATATACATTTTTATTGAAAATTATGATTAAGGGATGGGTAATTATGACCCTTACTCAACAACATGTTCTTTATTATTTACTGCCATTCTGTACTGATATGTCACCTCCTTTATTCCATTATTTGAATCCTTCATACACAGCATCCCTGAGGGCTCTCGGCACTTTGATTTTTTTGAGGAAGAATTTATTTAAAAAAAAGACATACCAGTAATGATGCCGAAATCCTCCACCAATTTCAGTGCAAACTTCCTTCTTATCCCCCTTCCCCCAAATAATTTATTGAGATCATGTATATGTGTATATAGCAATGCTGGTTATAATATGATTTTGCAGGTCATGGACTAGACATATATCTTTCATAGGAATATGGATTAATGAATTTCTACATTTTTTCATTTGAACATGAAGTTAGAAAAAATATCATTGTTAATTTTTTTGTGGTCTCTAAAACATTTTAATTGAAAAAATAATTATTGGTTAACCTCCTAGACTGGTCAGATATCTAAAACCCCACTCTGAGCCAGAAATCAAAATTCTCCTTTCAGCTACTATAGGCGGACATGGTATTTACTTTTCATCTAAATTTGAGAAAATTTGAAAAATCAAGGGGCCTAAAAACGGCTTTAACAGGTATCTTTTACCATTGACAAATCATAATTGATTATACAAATGAGGTCACAATTAATATATGTATAATCAAATACAAAGGGTCAAGGTCATAATTCCTCTTTCCATTGACAATAAGGCAATGATGATATTGTTGTCCAGTTGCTGTGTATTTTTTTGGTCTTTAAATCAAAATCCTTCTTCGATACTCCAGGGGTTATGCTTACTTTTGCTTTCTGCAACCCTGGAATATTTCATATCAAAATTGAAGGCACGGGTTAAGCTATTTGATTGGTCTTGGCGGGAAAAAACCTGACTAATCGTTAGGCTGATACTTATCCTTTGAAGATTACAGAAGAACGACATCCGACTTCAAAGCCAGTCAATTTTACTGTTATGCGACCGACCAACTCTGCACACTGAGCCTACCATTTTGCTATGATGTATTCCAGGGTTGCAGGGAGCGAAAGTGAAAATAATTCCTGGAGTATTGAGGATGATCAAAACCTAGTTGATAATTTGAGTTATGTTTTACAGTACAGTGAAAGTATATGAATCTTTTACGTACGGTGATGACATCAGTGATATCGTGGTTATTCACCCTCTCAAAAAGGTCACTGCAGGAATATTAGAAATGTTTGCTGCTGTTAATTTCACCTGAAACCATTAAGTTGTACATATCTCTGGTCAAATTGTTAGAACAAATAATCAACTTTGGTGTCTGATAATTTTAATTCATGATTTATTATTAAGTGCATTTGTACTAAGTCTAATTATGGACTAAATTCCTCTACAATAAAATCTATTTTTAAATCTGACATTGACCTAATATTCACAAGGTCAAAATCTATCTGAAACAATTATTATTCTGTAATAGTTGCAAGATACATATCCGATATGCAAAGACATTCTCATTCATACTTATTGTGATGGTTATGGTCACTTGTATAAAGCATTCATGCTACAATGTGTTTCCATTTCTACCCAAATGCTAAATTGCTATATGATAATTTGACATGCTTTGACTTGCTAAGTTAGGCTAGATGTATTTATCATACCTGAAAATCACTTAAATGTCAATTATGAAGCCCTACTTATTTTCGATCAAGTTGGTGAATATATACCGGTACTCAAACCAAGAAGAGTTGAGTCAGACTTGAAAATTTAACTTCTAAACAACTTTAGATATGTTAAATATATAAAAGTTAATGCATAATGTATAATGAATAAATTTTCAGGGGAGAAAGAATTATAAAACAAACAGGAAAAAAAAAGGAAATGGAAACTTACTATGACTTTGTGAAAAAGGAGCCTATTTTTTCAATTAGGAATGGGTATTTGTTTGTACTGATTCTGTGACACAGAGTTAACTGAGGAACCTGGGTTTCATAGTACGGGTACTATGAAACCCAGGTTCCTCAGTTAACTCTGTGTCACAGAATCAGTACAATCATCTTTAGATAATCACTCACAAATGGAATGCCAATTATTGCATGACACAAAGTAAATAAGATAATCAAAAAAATCCTGATTTCTTGAATTGTTTATTGTTGGCATGAACAAGATGTTAAGTAATTAATGTTTGACACTCACCCTACAGCACTGGTTCACGGTCACTTTTTTGTTAGAAATACTGGGTGGTAGGGTACAAATTGGTAGAAGGGGTGTTCAGATCTGTTAACTCTTGGGCTACATTTATAAGGTTACAAAGTTTTCTAAGTTAAATAACAAAACGGAAGATTATAATTTTTAATATTATCATAATTATTTGAACTGAGAAATACTATGTTTTTAACTTTGCGGGACTTATTCATCTGGAAAAAATTCAAAACATCGGGACTTGGACTCTCGAATATCCTGTAAATAAGACAGAATGTGATTCTGAAATATGTGATGAAACACAGTCTAATACATTTAGATTTTCATATAGATATTGGATTTCTTATCAAATTCAATATTTCTCTGTTAATTAAATTTCTGATGCCTGTACTTAATAAAAATAACCATGGGACGTTTTATTGTTCTAGAACAGGTGATTATTTCACTTCGATATATTAGTTGTAATTGTCAATATTTCATAACGAATGGGCCTTGATTTTACTTCGAAACATTGAGAAATTTGAATTATACAAATTTGATTCATGAGAAGAACATTAGTAGTGTTATATAAAGGGAGAAATTCTGTACTTTGCCGTAAGTTCGACACACAGAGAAGTTCGAATCATTTTATGGAAGTTTGACTGTAGTATATATTTGGTGTGAAAGTACCAAAATTTAATGCATTAGTCAAAATGTTCTGACTTCCAGATTCCAGGTTTAAGGTTTACGTATGATATATACCTGTCATTGATTTCCATGGGATGTTCAGACTGTCAAGCCCAAAGAGTATAACTGGGTATTTATAGGAGGAGAAACATACTTGGATACCTATGTATGTAATGGTAGATCTTACCAGACAAATCATGTGTGTTTTCAATGTTTGCATGTCTTGTGTTCGATGAATCGATTTTAAGGGACAAAACATGATACTATGGGTTATACAGGTGGGGGTTTGTTTGTTTGTTTGTTTGATTTTGTTTAACGTCCTATTAACAGCTAAGGTCATTTAAGGACGGCCTCCCCTGTGTGCAAGATGCATGCGTGTAGTGAATGTGTGTGTATTTTGGGAGGCTGCGATATGTTCGTGTTTGTCTCCTTGTGATAGCGCGGAACTGATGCCGACTTTATAGTGCTACCTCACTGAAACATACTGCCGAAGACACTCAGCAGGACGCCCCACCCGGTCACATTATACTGACAACGGGTGAACCAGTCGTCCCACTCCTAATTTGCTGAGCGTTAAGCAGGAGTAGAAACTACCATTTTTAAAGACTTTGGTATGTCTCGGCCAGGGGACAGAACCCAAAGCCTTCCTCACATGGGTGAACGCTCAACAAATGGCCAAAAGTGAGGCAATGTCAAGGGAGACATTAGGAAAAAGAAAGTTATTTAGAAAGAGAAGAGATAAGGTCCCAAATTTAGTCGCCTCTTACGATCATGCAATTGGGGGCAGCAGGTACAATTCTTACGCCCTACCTGCAGGGCAGACAGGTTGGGGTACTGACACAAAGCTATCTATACAGGTAAATGATTGATACAATAATAATAGCATGTAACTATCTGTTAAGCCAGGAAAATATTAAACAACATTTCCTTGTCAGAAATGGCGTTCGGTAACAGCGCTGATTGCAAAGTAGAGGCCTATTTTACGTAAACTGATAAGGGCTGACGAGCCAAAGGAAAGTATATTGAAATTTTAAAAAAACTTCATTAAATGGACGAAAATACTAAAGTACCAAAATTTAACTCTCCTCCTTTGATAAAAAAAATTGGAAATTTTAATGTGTCTATAATATCTTAACTTTAAGCACAATGTTTATGTTTGAATGTGAAACATTTTAGGAATTATGTCGAGTAACAGGTTTGTTTGTGAAATGAAGTATTTTTAAAATTGTTGTTGGTATCCAAATCGTAAATTCAAATGTTGCATGAGGTGAAAGTTAATCAAGTCCAACATAGCTTTGTGTTATGTTTATGAATATTTATATTGTTAATGAGATGGTAATGATAATGGGTCAACATTTGTCATATTTAATTGACATTTAAACAAAATTAGAAATCTTGTAAAATCATATTACATTGTACATATTTTTTTGTTTTGTTCATGGAAGATTTCTAGGTAAAAAAAAACATGCTCAACATCATTAAATTTAATGTATCCTAATTTATTTATTTTTAAAAATAGGATAGATTATGTACAAACTTGATTATTTGCACACCATATGTACTTTAATGAATATTATATCAAATAAAATGAGGAATATGGTACCTCACTTAAAGCATCATTATGCGTATGAATGCCAACTGAAAGCAGTTCAATACTTAATTATATATACCATTTTTTGGAATCTATTTATCGCATAGAAAATTAAATTACGCTTTTTGTTATTCAATAATTAGATAAAATGACGTATTATTCATATATGCCTGTTCAATGCATAGAACAACCACGATCGGCTCATGGCATTCATAGCCTGTATGAATGCCATCTGAATGTGTTAGGATTATATAGAGGCAGTGCCATATGATGACAGATATTATGTATAGATATTATGTATAGATATTATGTAATGAAGTATGCAAAACATACCATCCGATCTCAATTCAGGGTTGACCTCATAACTATTATAACAAAAAAGTTTACATTCGTACTGTACGTTTCATTTCAGTTCTGCAATATGAATAAAAATACAGCAGATCAACTTCGGCAACAAAACCGCAAACGTCTGGAGAGGATGGAAAGAGGGGACCGAAAAAGCAAGAAAAGCGAGAATTTCTCCGACTCAAAGCGAGGTAAATCTTAGTTGTGAAGATTAGATGTTGTCACCATTGCATAAAGGTTGATCAAACTTATAACTGTTTTTTTTGTCAAAAAATAATTTGATACTGTTAAAACTTAATTATAAAAGGTGGTAGTAGGGCCCTGGATGTAGCTAGTGTGTAGTCTTTAACCTAGATAGTTTAAACATGGTGTGATATTGATCATAGAGTCAAATTATATAATTGTGTAGACTTTATCATAGATTGTTTAAGGATAAATTGTGTGCAAGGATAATGGAAAGTAAACACATCTGTAATGAAATAGACTTGGATCATAGGTGCAATTTTTAGTTAATTGAGGATTGTTAAAAATGAAAGACCTGTCTAGACTGAACTCCAGCTAACTGATATTTCTGTTTGGAATGGACAGGTTTTCAAATTAAAATGGTTATTTTTTTTTATATAAAATGTTTACAGTGGGACCAAATGTGTCTGTTTTTATATTGATGGCAAAGAAATGTATACAGTGGGGCGTAGCTAGGTCTGGTTTATGCAGGGTTACATAAATATATAGTGGCTGGTCTTGGCTAACAATTTCCTGATTATACAGGGTTTGATGTAGACAGGTTTTTATTAATTAAACATATCAGCCTTTTATATTATGTGTTGTACTTTCCTATAATCCTACATTCTATTTAAGTTATAGTTTAGAAATGTGTATCATTTCCTTTGTTTGAGCTGATTTTTATATTTTTATTATTTATTTATTTTTTTATATTTTTTATATTTTTTACTTCTGTATTATGATTTATTTAGAGACAACAGTGGATTTATATGAACATGCTAACACATTGTTTGTTTTTAATGCTTGATTGATGATAACACTTATTTTTGTGATATTAGATAAAATAAAACTTATGAAGAGACTTACTTATACCATGTAAATATTTAGCGGGTCGAAACCTGAAATAATTTTGAAGAAAAAAAATCCTGTGCTAGTGATTTTAGGATTTTGACAAATTGATTTTCCCAGGTGATGCTGCCTCTATGGGCTCGCAGATATCAGTGAAATCTAATTCCTCACAACGCAGTAAGCTATATACATAATACATCATGAAGCGCTGTGTTCCAAATTGGTTTGCAGTTCTAAATGGCATTATACTCCGGTTTGCTTTTCATCCCTATCATCACTTTGCATTTTTGTTTCCAGCAGTATTTATTTTAGATAGAGTTTGCTAATTCCTCCCACCTCGAGCACCTTTAACTGATCCCACCCGTTAATACTTATACATATATCTGTGTGAAATATTATAACCTATAGCTGAACAGAGATTTGTTTATTTATTTCATATATCATTAATGCTTTTTCATTTCACTGTAAGAAAGTATATAACACTATATGGCATTCGACGGGCGTATTTTGTTCCGCCCCGCGGTGCTCTTGTTCATTTCAATGAATTATTGAGCCTACTACCTTGTATTATGTTTATAATTAATTAAGATGCTGATGAGGTAACACATGTCAAAGTATACACACTTAAAAGTATAATTTGACATGTGAATAATTTTTTTACTTTCAGTTTAACAAATAAACATTGTTTCACGTATCCATTGAAAACCGTCTTGACAGAATTTTTGCCATTTTTTCATTGCTGTCCTTTGTCAATGAAACCCTAAATAGTAATCTATAATTATTAATTTAGCAACATGTGAATTTACAAGTCTCTACTGCATTCTACCCTCTGTGAATACTAAAACAACTGGCCCTAGGATGAACAAATAAATTGTATTCTCTCTCTCAGATTCCATCTTGTATGAAATGTTTATTGTCATGCTTGCCAAGTTTTTGAAATTTCCTTTTTGAAGATTCTGCATAATCGAAAATTAAAATTAAAATAAAAATGGGTGTATACCCCACCCCCTCCCCCACCCCACCCCACCCCACCCCACCCCCGCTTAGGTTGAAAATAGCACTTTAAAATGACATCTTTTGAGTTGTTCTTTCAGATGAAATAAATTAATGGATCTAGGAAATGTTTAGCAAATTCATTGGTTGAAAATATTGAATATAAGCTAGGGTCCAAATTTTCGGAAGGTTGTAAATAATTGTATAATTGGTATTACAAGACAAATCTAGAACACAGATCAAATTGGAACATCATCGTCACGATCATCATCATATAGTATTCAAATCAGTGATCTACAAGCAGCATGAAATAGTTCGTCACTTCACATTGCAATAAAGACAAAATTTGAAATATGCAAATGCTGTTTAAAATAAGACACAAGAGATGCGTGCATGGGGAGGTACAAAAAGTCTGTCACAATTTCCAAAAATTTCAACCATGTTAATGCATCAATATCACCGAACATTTCAATGTTAGTTCATTATATGATATAATGGTGCTTGCTTGATTTTGCGGGTCTGCATGCGGTGAAATATTTTCGTAGAAAAATTAAAAGTATCTACAAGTATGAAGATGTTCAATCGATTCGAATTCTAATGACAGAATTCTTGTTTTATCTTTATTAGCGTAGAGTACAGGTTTTCAGTTTCAATCCCCTACTCCATCTTCGTCACTGATAGAAACATTGTACAGTTTATATGAGTTGGGTGTTTCAGCCACTACCCAAACAGTTGACACTTCCACTGTTTGACTTGTGTGTACATTTTGACAGACATTCATAGAATGACATTCGCTTGCTTCTTTAAATCTTTGAAGCCACTGCTGTTTGCTCTTCGTGCTAAATTAAGAAAAAAAGATTAAAAAAAAAATGAAAAATTTCTGTTTGTGTGAAGCTCAACTGTTCACAAATAAATGCACACCCAAGAATTTATAATCAGTAGTTTTCAAGTTTCACAGCAGCAAGCTATAAGGGATCACAGATGCATACAAGGGGAGGTAACTTAAAGAAAACTGTTGATCACAAGTGTGAACCACTTTCACCTAGTCAGCATCAATACCCATATCACAGATCTTCAATGTGTTTGCGTGTAGTTTTGGGTAACTGTGATTTGCAGACAAGAGTATATGCACAGATCAATAAGTACAACTTCTGCGGCTACTTAAATAGGACCCAATATCTCCTCCTACTGACGGACTCTTAAAATTATTGGAGAAATATGTCAATTTTTTATCCACATATTGATAATTTTTGTTCCAGGTACATAAACAAATGTGGTAATTTTTTTTAAGGTACTGCACTGGTAAAAATGTGATGAGCTTATTTTGGAAAGGTTGAAAGTAAAGAGATTCTTTAATCAAAATTTTCTAAATGAGAAGGTGAATTTCATCACTCCACTTACACTTTTAGAGATTTATTATGGTATTTTGAAATGATAACACCGTCCAGGGTCCATATTGGAAAAATCAGTGCAAAACAATAATTCATGAATTACAGAAAAGACACACAAAAAATGGGGAAAAAAAGGCCAATTTTGATTTTGGAATTGGTCAATATAACAGACCAGGAAAAAAAAAGGGGGTTGATTGTTATTCCTGCATTCGTAAAGGTTGGTATATCTTTGAGTGAGATGAACTCTGTGGTTTAAAAGTATGCGTGACAAAATCTGTGACATCAACACAATTCATGTATGTGTTTGTTATCAGAGATACAATATATACATCTTTTGTAAGGTTGTCAATCATTACAATATTTTGCGGATGCATTTTCTACTTAAAAACTTAAAACAGTCACTTGAGGATGTTTTGATTGATTGGTTCAACAAGGTTTATCACATTTTTCATACAAGTGTTTCCTTGTATGTAACGGTATATTCAGGAAGTTGTTAGGTTATGATATGTTATGCACTAGCTGGCAAAATAGCAAATACCGGAAGCAAATATTGACAAGTTGTAATTTACAAGTCAAACACTGTAAGTATGCTATTGTACTGTAAATAATGTATGCTGAAGCCTAATTATAATTTATTTTACCTGTCTAATTTTTATCTGAAGATTTTTCGTGACTGTACTGTTCTATATGTATATATATTTCAAGGTATTGATCTTTTAATTCTTTTACTATTTTTTATAATGGTTGCAGTCAGTAATTCAATGTTAATTGTGTTTTTCTCTGGTCAAGCTTTCAGTGACCGGCCGATGTCTGCCAGGTCCGGCAAGTCTATATCTTCTCAGAGATGTAAGGTCAATGTTTATTTCTGCCCTGACACTGGGCAAATGCTTTTCATTGGACATCACTGGTCAAATGCTTGTCATTGGACATCACTGGTCAAATGCTTAAAAACTGTCACATCAAAAACATGTCACTGGGCACTGGTCAAATGCTTGTCATTTGACATCACTGGTCAAATGCTTGTGGCTGGACACTTGTGGACACTTGGTGTTGTATTGATGGTCACTGACTATAGCAGTTTTGTTTGTTTGTTACCTGAAGAGGGTCCTATAGGAAGTATAGCTCTTGTCTGGTTCGGCACCAACTTTGCCTTTTCGGTCAATGCAGTATGGTCTGTATATGTGTATATAGTATATAGAGATATCATTTTGTCAGTATTGTGTTCCTGGTATTATTGTGAACTCAACTATCTTGAGATAAAAAAGAAATATCACTTTAGCAATCCTGTATTCACTCTAATGTTGACAACACAGTATATGTATTCATTTGAATATTCAATATATGAGGTCAGTTGAATGTTCCGTGACATTATTCACTCATTGATAGGTAGAATTATTCACGAAAATACTAAATTCACTATTTGTATTCAGTATTTGCCTGAGTGTTGAGTATACAGCTGGTATTCACTCCAATGTTCAATACGCTTATTCATTTGATTGGGATGAATACATGTATTCACTCAAATTTAAGTATGTACTTGTATTGGTATTCATTTGGGTATTGAATACAGGTATTCACTCGAAAACTTTAAATATTCACGTGAATTGTTCTGGCACAGTTTTGTTTGGTGCTGTCTGAGTTTGGGCTTGATGGTTTTGCACTACCCATGTTCACTTACAAAGGTCACACAGCGAGTTGAATGTGAGATTAACTTTTCACTTATAATGAAACTTTCAGTAAAGATTGAGTATGCTGATCGTAATAGCTTTTATTATCTCAAATTATAAATAACATGAATAATCTTATTAATTTTGTAAAGTGAAACGGATAAATTGTGATGTTTTTTTGTGTTCATTATTTTTAATTTCTAAATTCGGATTTAATTCATTTGACAAAGTTGAGAATTACAGAGGTCATCAGATGGTTTAATGCTGTGTTTAAATGGTCGTGCCTTTTTTCTAGCGTCGAGGAAAAAGATGGGATCAACTGCGTCCATTAAATCTGAATTTTCTGTAGAGGACGGAGGAAGTAAGGACTTTTACTTTTCTTTTGGGGGAAAATAGACATAAAGTCAACGGTACATATCTTGTTATACCTGGCGTAGTAGTACCAGTAGAACTGTTCATTTAGGTGTGTGACAATCACTTTGTTATTACATTGTATTCCTTTTTTTTGCTTTGATTGGTGCTTATTGTAGAGTATTGCCAATACAATTAAAACAATGTTCCAAATAATATGAAGAAAAAACAGATTGGAAGAACTTGTGTATAGTAATGAACTAACTTAAGATAGATCACTGATATTTAAGTTGATTATGTCTACATTGCATTGTTATAATATTTATGCTTTGAAAAAAAAAATGATATCTTAACAAGGTATTAACAGTTTAACCCCTTCAGACATCCTCGATATATCCAGGGGTTATGCTCATTTACGCTCTCTGCACCCCTGGAATATGTCAAAGCATAACTGAAGGCTCAGTGTGTACCACCTTGTTGATGAGACAAGAAGACTTGTTTGATCCTTTAATATACATCAATAGAATCTGGCGGTCGCGTAATGGTAAAAAATGACTGGTTTTGAAGTCGGGTGTCGCCCATTTGTAATCTTCAAAGGACATGTATCAGCCTAGGGATTTGTCAGGGTTTTTTAACCCGAGACCAATCAAACGGCTGTCTTTATGCCTTCAATTTTGCTATATGACATATTCCAGAGGTGCAGAGACTTAAGTGAGCATTACCACCTGGATATCGAGGATGACCCCCAGACCACCGTAAGACCAATGACCTATTGGGTCAAAGGTACCTAGACTACATTTCTAAAGGTCATAGGGTCAAAGGGTCACAGGGTCAAATTTCAGCTCTTTCAAACCACAATAAAACTAGTTATGGAGACCACAGTAGGAACAAAGGCCCTTAAGGGTCCCCTAGAGACAACAATAAGATTGATGCTCCAAAGGGGCACTGTTTCTGAAAGTCTCTCAATTTTTGTGAGTGCTTTATTTTTTTGAGTTATGTGCCTAGATTTGCGAGACATTTTCACTTTGCATGTATGATCAACACAGTCTTACAAACTATATAGTAGTATGTACAGGTGTAAATGTTTGGAATGAGTTAGGAGGCATAGTGAACTTACATGCATGCATAACTTCAAATGGACAGGCTTCTACTTTATCTCAAATATAAATGTCCATTGCATTTCTGAAATCTGGTTTAAGATGTTTTAATTTGCTGTATTATGCATATAAAATCTCTGTTGGGATGGAAGGTGATACATATTGGGTGGTGGTAAGAAAGTATATAATTATTTGGTGAAGGGGTATCATAATTTCTTTTTGGCAGGGATGATAATAATTTTAGTGGGGGCGACAGGCCGATTCCAAATACCGGTACACTGCATGTCTGTTCATTTAAATATTGACGGATTAATATTAAAGTTCACACTATTCACTTCAGCTTCAGATAGTAAAAGGATGGGGTCATCGTCTTCCCTACGGTCAGATTCGACCTTGAAGGCAGCAGAACGTAAGACTCAAGGTTACTCACAGTGTTACGCTTCACGGCTTATGACGGTTCCGTCACTCTGGTATATGTACTATAGTATACTGAAGGAACAAAAGCACAGTACTAAACTGCTTGTGACATTATATATGTAGCTTATTACAAATACAGCCATGACATTTTCTTCCATTTCAGTATGTTAAACAAGAACAGATTGAGAAAGCTTTGTTTCTTGCAAACATTATTTCCAGCGTTGGTTATGGGGTTGCTGCTGCTTATTTTCGAGCTGAATACTTATTATTTCAGCATTTGTATCTCACCTAGTCCAAAAACTTTTCACATTATGTCACAGATAATATCTTTGTGTTTGTTTACAGAGCGATTGAGTCAGAAATTACCTTCATTATACAGATTTATTGAGCTACAATATTGTAACTTCTTAGGTATTTTATAGCCAAGTGTAATCTTTTTTAACCTGGAATATTAAGGGTGATAAGTCAGTTATCATCATCTTAAAGTTGGTTTGAATGTCTTATATCCTCAATACAATTTAAGTCAAATTTAGAGGCTCGTCTAACATTTTCCTCTAAGTACTGTGAACATGCAATGCCAGTGTAGTACCGAGTAATTATATACACTTTAATAGCCATCAAGTTCAATAACATACATATTGAATTGACTGTATAAAGGATGTTTTTTCTATTGTCACTGACGTTTGCTTTATGAAGATTATATTCTTCATACTGCCATCTTCTTTATACCGCCACTTTCACTCTACGCTGTTAATTGGTCTGTCACTGCTGTGTATAACGACAAACTGTACTGTCTCCAGTACCGGTGTTTACATTCTAGCTGATACCAGTGTATAACCCGAGTGACTTAGAATTTTAAGCCTAAACTTTCTGAGCCCTTGCCATTATTCCATTTCAAACTGTGATGATTCATTAACAAATACATTGGAAACTGAAAGTAAGAAATTTTCATTTTATATTATTTTCTTTAGTGTAAATCTCCTTTTGTATAGAATAATTGGAAGGGAAAAAATCATCAGTGTTATGTAATTGAAAATAACCTTTTTATATAAAAAAAAAAATGAATAATAGTCAATATATTGAAACTGAAAGTAAAAGCTTTTTATTTGATATGAATTTTTAGTTAAAAGTTTTCTTACAGAATATTGTATCCCCTGGGATAATATCAATGTTATAATCAATGTTATGTAATTGAAAATCATACTTTTTTAATAGAAAATAAATTACAAAATATTCCAACCATAATATCTAATACAATAGGTTCAGTCATGATATGATTATCATTACATTTATATTACATAGATTAATATTACTCTTACTTTTTACTTGTTTTCCTATACTGTTTTACTCAAAATATTTCAAATACCAAAAGATGAGGAGGAGGACGCTATGGAGGAAATTCCTGAGGATGTAGATGAAGATGACGATGATGATGATGACATTCAAACGTCCATGACACGAGCATCAGATGCCAAACGACACAGCATACAGTCCACTGGGTCATCTTTCAAACGCAGCACTGACTCTGAATTGGGGTCAAGGAGTTCACTAATGTCATCCAGGGGGTCTTCTGTTCATTCTTTCAAAACAAGGCGTAAGATGTTTGTCTTTTGAGACCACCCCTCAATTTCTGTTGTTGACTGACATGTTTTTGTCTTTTCATATTCACAAGAGACGTACGTTTCACTGAGAATGTTTCTTCTTTGTTAAAAATGGTTGTTTCCACTCTGCCCACTAGTAACTTGTTGTCCTACACTGGAATCTATTGATAGACATGCACTGAATGTGACCTGTTCATGCATGACTCAGAAGTTATCATTTATCCCTCGAAAAATATTTTTTATTTTGCATGGAGTGAATGATTTGTTGCACTTTACTTTCACAGTGAAATACTACACAAGTTAAAGCATCAGTGGCTATTATTATCTCTTCTGAGTAGTGGCGTGGTTCATAATATCCACTCTTTATGAAATTGAAATCAACCACTACACCTCCTAATTCTGAAATTCATATAATTTAGGGGTTTTAGACACCTCCTCTCCTGTTTTAACAGACCGATTTGGATTTCTATCTTTTTTTTATTTCCCCCAGCATCACTGTTGATTCCATGAAGGAAAAAACAGCTATTTGGTGGAGCGTAAATCACGTTTGACATAACTAATTCTATAGGTGCAATCGCATTTGTCTCTTACATTCATCTGTCCAGACAGGAAATATTGGAACATTTCAAGAGGTTTTTAATATGTCTTCTGATCTCTAGCTGTCATCATATATTTTGTTTATCTTACTTTACCTTTACAAGAAGATCCTACAACAGAGGTTGGGTTAGGACAAACCGTAACAGACGACTTGACTACTTCACCCCGAACAAAACCAGCAGCCTCCGTTAGGAGACTGGCAGAAGCAGACACAGCATCTGGCTTACATAGTTCTTCAGTATCACTTCGTAAATCTACTGGCTCTGAATTCGGTTCTCAAATGCAACGTGGTATGAACAAATCCTCAGCATCTGTCCGTCAATCTTTGGATGCTGAAAAAGAATCAATTGTTCAGCAGTCCCTAACAGGTTCATCAGCATCCCTCCGCAAATCTGTCAATACTAGGTCAAAATCAAATGTTGGATCATCCGCATCTATCCGCGAGTCTATTGATGAAGAGCTGGAGTCAAACGCTCAGAAGAGCATCAGAGGGTCATCTACCTCTCTCCGATCTTTGAAGGTTGAACAGGAATCAAGCACTCAAAAAAACATTAGTGGATCATCAACATCTCTTCGCAGATCTCAAGATGCAGGATTTGGATCTCAAGTCACTGTAAAATCCAAGCAGGCAGTGAAACCAGTGTTCTTCTCCTCCGAAGAAGAATCAAGTAAGATGGCGTGTGTTTTTAGATGTTCGCTGTGTGGCCTATTCCCAAGGCCAGTCATCTTAAAAGGCTGCTTTGTTTGCCTGCCAGATCCCAATCCAACATGTTTAGCCTAACTACATGTATCTCCTTCCAACTGCCTCCAAATCTTTCTGATGATGCTTCCCAAGAAAGTATTGATGTTATCAAATCATTTTCCCGAATCCTGCAACCAAGTCTGCTTTGTTCAAAATGCTGCCAGGAATCCCATGTATTGTTTCCAAACATCGTAACCAGAACGTTTATCTGTGATGACTTTAGTTCAGATGTGCGAGTCTGACTCTCAAAAGATATTTTTCAGTCACAAAAAAATCTTGTATCAGCTCTGTTTCGTCCTCATTTTTGTGTTGCACAATGCAGCAGTGACGTTGAGTATAATTCTCGAGAGAAGACAAACTAACTTGTGACAGAAATATATCTTTGATATATAAATGGATATATAACCGAGTGGTATGTTTATATGTGGGTTGTTGTCTGTAGCATGGGTGTATGTTATGGTTCAATAGAAGTTGTGAGATTATAATGGTTATGATGTCCACGAATCCTGTTTAATCAACACTTACCAGTGGTAACCATGGAGATTTCAGAGTTGTGTTTTGTACAAGTCACTTCGTGATATGTTTGTTTGTCTGCATGTTTATAAGAAATAATCACATGGTAAAAAAAATCAGTGCTATAGTTGGGGGGCTTTTGAATCAAGATTTTGGGTAAATATTCACTCACAAGAGTAAAATATCTATTCTAATTGAATTATATTGCAATACATTTGTGATTGTCACCTTAACAAGGTACGACCTTGGTCTGATAAAACTGACTTAAACATTGACATTTTTTCCTGTGGTTAGTGCCATTTGAAGAAATTATGGGTGATGTCTAGAAAAATATGCAAATTTTTGCTACCACATTTAGAATGGTTAACTTAAAAATACTGCAATAGGTTGCTTTCAGACTTTCATTCTGTTTTAAATGTGGTTCCTAAACGTAATCTATAAGGATTTTGTCTGGGCATGTTCAATTCTCATCTGAAGTTCTGTGCATATTTTATAAGGTAGTATGATGCTTCTTCAGATTATTGCAGCTGGGTTTTTTCCTGTAGGATAGCTTTCTTAGTGTATAGGTTTGGCAAAATGTTTGCATGAATTATTTATACATGCAATGTATGTGTAATTCTTTAATTTTCCTATCAAGTTCTGAGATAAGTGCAATCCAGAAGAATTTCACGAGATCTTCTCCCTACCTCTCTTCTGATTGGCTGATGAAGAAGTGGACATTAATTCAACCAATTTGCTTTTTCTATGAATTTCATACATCATTGCTTACAAACTTATTATCTTATTTTCACAAAATGTAGAGCAATATAAAAATACTTAATGCGTAAGTAGAAAAAATTTTAACTTGCTTTATATCCCATAGAAATGCTGCTTAGCCTTTTGAATATTTGAATTTTGCAGGGTTTGATTTTTGTTTTAACCGAAAGAATTATATAACCAAATTGTTGTCTCAAAGCCACTTAACACATAAGGTTAAGCTGAAATTAAAAGATATTAGCAGTTTTGAAATTCGCACTGGACCTGACATACCTGATGTACTGACTTAGGTGAAATGCTTATGTTACGTCAATATTGTGAGTTCTACATAATAATAATAATAATAATAAATGATAATAATTCGAGGTTCTTATGTACCGCTTTATCCCAGCTTAGTTTGTGGGTCGTCTCAAAGCGGTTTACAAATTATTATCCGTGGTTATAGGGCCTTTGTAACTAGCCAATATCTTTCTCAACTCCCCGGGGAGCATACAGCCAGTGCTGCCACTTCGGCGCTCACAGCTAGCATTCTACAATTCTGGCACTGCCCAACCACATACTCATTTACAACTGAGTAGACTGGAACAAGTGGAGTAAAGCATCTTGCTCAAAGATACAACACAGTGCTGTGCTGTGACTCGAACCCGCAACCCTTCGGTCACGAGCCTGGCGTCCTACCACTAGACTACCGTGCCTCTCCATTACATTAAACTAAAAATGTGACGGGCTTGTGAAGTGGAGATAGTTACAATATATAAATAAACAAATGTATAATTTCAATTATTAATAATTTTTTAAAAAGTCAGCTACATGGAGATGTGTCAACTAGTTACATCTACAATTATCATAATATCTTGACCGATTTTATAGAAATAATTATTTTAAACTTGTACGATTAGAAGAATAACTGTTATATTCGTCAGATAATGATTTGATATTGGTATTGCTTTTGCTGATATCTCTAGTATATCTAAATGTTTTGTAGAGTTTTTGATTGTTTAATAGCTGATATGAAAACACAATGGTGTTCTTTTCCCTAAAAATACGGTAAAACAACATGTTTATTTAAGAAACGACGTTTACCCTGTGATGCCACAAATAAATCTCTCTTCTATTAATAGCCAATCTCCCTACTTCAAAGTCCAAGTTGTATTTCACAGGCATCACCTGTATGGTTGTTTTTCATATGTTGACTATCTATAAAAGATCATGTCAAATATTCACATTACATGCAATATCACAGGGACTACCAACACTTACTCAAGTGAGAGCAAATGCGCATGACATTCCACTTTATATCAGCCACTGACTTGATTGAATTAAGAAAACAGATTTTAGTGAACTGGGAAATAAGTACTTTAAGCAACTGTTCTTATTGCGGGTAGTTTTAGTTAGTTAGCACATGTTTTTGATTCCAAGATAGAGAAAAAGGAACTTGCAGTTTCGAAATCTGGTGGGGGAAAAAATACATTAAAGATAATTAATTTGGTACAACCTTTTGTGAGAAGACAGGAGACGTGAGGATGACGAGGAGGAGATTGATGAAGATGTTGATGATGAGGAGGAAGTTATACCGACGTCTGCTAGGAGACGGAGTAGCGCCTCCAAATCAGACCTGTCATCTTCGTACAAATCACGTCATAAAAGCTCCGGTACTTAATTATATAATGACTCGTTAAAAACATCAGTAATCTGATAGCTGTATACACTATATTCATTCTTGTATATATGAAGAAATTGTCAAGTCACATTGAAATTTTTTATTGTCTACAGGCTAAAAACTCAATTGACAGAAATAAAATGATAATTTGTAAACTGAACGCACTGTTGGTATGATATATATATATATTTTAAATAATTTGATGAGGAAATGTTCAGTGTCTTAAAATAGTATGAAGTAGGGTTTTATCTTCCATGCATGTGATTTTAGAATCAAATTTGAAAAATACCTTTCTGCCTCATATGAGATTTTTTTCTCTCACAAACTGATGAATAAGTTTCAAATGTGATCAGCATTTTTATGTTATTTTTTACAGAAGATAATGATATCATCCAAGCTATTAATGACTTTTAATCACACAGAATGTTCAGTATCATTAATTTGTTGCTTTCTTGAACAGGGGAGTTAACTCATGGTTCGCATGCGTCGTTAAGATCAGGTATCTATATGTTTACCCTGTTACCTCACTAGACGTGTAAATCGAGTGTGATATCGTTGACGGTCTCTCTTGAATGCTTTTGCTCTTTGACAACAACTTATGCCACAGTTTGTTGATCACTTTTGGTTTGGGGTTGATATTGAGTACGATTTCACCAGCGAATTGCTTCACATTTCTGCAACAAAGTTTTCTGCACTTTTTAACCATGGTTTATTCAGATCAAGGTATGTATTTTTAAAAATTGCTGACATCGTTTTTTGCTAATATTGCACTCATGAGAAATATGTGGAGGATACAGGATTCTGTCCTGCTTGTGAGATTGGATTCTAGAATTCCTTGATCGCCATGCTACTTATTCTTTAAATAGTCAAATTAACATTTTCCCAATTTATTTGACAAAATCAATGTTGATTGATGATAATTATTCATTTCAAAATAAAATTATTACATTTTATTTTTTTAGAAACATAATGTTCTCATCTCATTATGAATTCATACTTCTGAAATAAAACCAGAGAGAATTGAGAGCATGTTGTTTGATTTAGCGCAACATGGCATATAAGGATCTGACTTGTAGGGTAAAATATACCCCTTGGGGTCAAAGGTCAAGTCTTATTTCGGTCAACTGTGAAGACACTTAATGTATGTGGGTCTAAGTTGATTCAATTATATTCCTGTTACATAGTCAGTACTTTCCAGTAGAAAATAGTACATATTAGAGCTATAGAAAAATGACTTATGAAATATGTCCAAATATTGACATTTATTTTTACAATTTTTGTATTGATTAATTGTTGAGAATGCCTCTGAACAGAAATTTGATTCAGTAGATTTAGGGAACCTGCTGAACTTCATGCTTTTCTGCTTGAAAGGATTTATCGGGATACATTTATCAATACTGCTTAAAACTTACTAAATCTGAGAGTCTTCCTTTGATTTCCAAACTCATATACCTAGGTAATGATACAAGAATATAACTTCAAATGGCTTTATCTTTTTTTTTTGTATAGAGTCTCCTGAATTTCTTGATGTTGTTGTTTGTTTCCTTTTATGTGTTAGTGTTTGTAGTTGGTTAAATGTCTATTCCTGTGTATGTACAGGTTACCTGTCTATAGAGGTCACCTGTCTGTAGAGGTCAAATATATATAGAGGGCACCTGTCTGTAGAGGGCAATTATCTATTGAGGTCATCTGTCTGTAGAGGTCAATTATATATTGAGGTCACCTGTCAGTAGAGGTAAAATATAAATAGAGGTCACCTGTTTGTAGAGGTAAAATATATTTAGAGGTCACATGTCTTTAGAGGTAAAATATATATAGAGGGCACCTGTCTGTAGAGGTCAAATATATTTAGAGGTCGCCTGTCTGTAGAGGTCAAATATATATAGAGGTCACCTGTCTGTAGAGGTAAAATATATATATAGAGGTCACCTGCTTGTAGAGGTAAAATATATATAGAGGTCACCTGTCTGTAGAGGTAAAATATATTTAGAGGTCACCTGTCTTTAGAGGTAAAATATCTATAGAGGTCACCTGTCTGTAGAGGTCAAATATCTATAGAGGTCACCTGTCTGTAGAGGTCAAATATATTTAGAGGTCACCTGTCTTTAGAGGTAAAATATATATAGAGGTCACCTGTCTGTAGAGGTAAAATATATATATAGAGGTCACCTGCTTGTAGAGGTAAAATATATATAGAGGTCACCTGTCTGTAGAGGTCAATTATCTATTGAGGTCACCTGTCTGTAGAGGTAAAATATATATAGAGGTCACCTGTCTGTAGAGGTAAAATATATATAGAGGTCACCTGTCTGTAGAGGTAAAAAATCTATAAAGGTCACCTGTCTATACAAGTCATCTTTTCATAGAGGTTGCCTGTATATGAATAAGGCAACAGTATCTTTTCTTTTCTGAATTGGCTGTGCAGCTTTAACTGAATTTAAGCCCAGCAAACTTATTCTAATACCAGGAGGCCAATGGTCTGCATATCCTCAAAAACGACCACAGGTTATGTGTCGGTGTACACCAGATGTTGAATATGCGTAAAACATGTATTGATCACGTATTTAAACCTATATCAAAACTTTGGTCCACAGATTACTGAAGAATATACATTAACAATCAGTCAGCTTGCTTACCAGAATTTCTCTGGAATCTCTTTCAGCTGGGGTCTATGTCATTGAATCTTGACACAGCAGATACATGTGCCGCAGTGTTTACTTAAAAACAATAATATTGCCAAAGTCTTGTTATATGTACAGCTTTTTTTTTTTGGGGGGGGGGGGGGGGGGGGTACTTACCAAGTATAACCTTCACAATGTACAATAATCAGGCTAATCTCATTTTGAGCTGTTTTATTTTTGTGCCTTAATTTCTTCCTTTTAATTCATGCTTTAAATCAATTTTATTTATTTCTTTTTTATTTCTTCATATTTACCTTTTTTTATTTAAATAAAAGAAACATAATCATAACAAAAGAAATATTTTTTGTCAATTACATGGCTATATTTCAATTGATGATAATGTGTTTTACTATATTTGACTAAATAATGGGGGTAAGTGCCCCGACACCTAGCACACTTTCGAAAATTAGATTTATTGAAGAACCATTCTAAATTCTTAACAAACAGTCTTTTAATTATAATTAATAGACATACTTTTTCATGTAAGTCTGCAAATTACGATAAAGGGATGGTATATTTGAACGAGATTAAATTTTGGGGTACTTAAATGGGATGGGGTATTATTGGGTCAAATATGATGTGTACGTTGATCAACTCTTCATTTGATACAGGGCCGTACCAACAGGGACAGGACTGTGGACTATATCTGTAATAAATTGACATATGGTTAATGAGTGGCTTGCCTGCATGATTGATTGAAATGTATCTGTTTTTAAACATAATTGATTTGTCAACTGGTGATTGCATGATTCCTTGAAATCGTATGTTTCTCAATGTAACTGATAATATATTTTCTGTTACAGGATCTTTTGTGAAATAAATTTGAGAAAAAAAATGTGGGAAAACAAATATTCATATTCATACCTTTACCTACTTGTTTGCTTGATTCACAGTTTGTTTGCATTGGAAAAATAAAATTTATTAACTTGTTATACTTTTCAGAGGTTACACCCAATACTTGATAATACATGTAGTTTTCTACAAATAAAAAGATGGACAATATTAGGTTTAATTTCACTATTCTCATTATATATCTGATGTAGAACAATATAAATGTATCTCACTTGATACAATTACAATTCCATGCAAAAAGTTCATGTTTATCACAAATTAAAGAAAGATTTTTTTTAGTTCATTTTCACCATTTTTATGAACAAGTTCCATTTATTGCACAAGATTGTCACATTTTAATGCATGTTATTTCAGCCGGTATGTCAGGATCAAGGAGATCTTTGCTGAGCGTTGGTACATATGATTTATCTCCCCTTTAAGATACTCGCCTGTTTGGAAAACCTGTTATTCTGGATCTGAATTATCTTGGTGTTTTTTCGCCTTAAATGTTTTGCTCATGGCTTTAGTTTTTTGCACGTGTGTTTTACCATTTAACATATTCCTATATGAAAGTGTGAGTTTTTTTCCCTACTTTTTCTATATATTGTAAAAGTCATATATATATATACCCCCGGTATATATATTTTGTTTGTGATGATGTGGTTTAATATTTTGGCTTCATCATTAACATCAGTATGTCAAAATTGTTCCTTCATGAATAATTAAAATGCCTTATTTGAAAAAATAGATATCACTTCATTTTTTATCCCCAAAATGTACTTATTTTCTAAATTCACACTACTATTTTCACTTTAGAATATGCTTAACTGATGTCTAAAATGAGAAGCAGTTTTCTTATCTGTCTAAGTGTTCAATAATTAGTCTATTCAGTTACAGTGTCAATATTTCCTGCAAACTTTGAAACTCACTCCCACCTCATCTGACCATTAACATGTAGTCACGTTTAGCAACACTTGTGGTCTCCTCACTGGTATAATTCTGAGTGGGTATTAGTTTTTAAATACACACAGAACACGTATCATCGATCCAGCAATCTGGTGGTATACAACAAGCACTAAGGGGCTCAAATGTTGCCAAACACTTTAGAACTCATTTCCCTATTTGTTCTCATGTCAACTTAAACAGTCAATGTGTCACATATCGCGACACATTTTATAGAATTATCGTACATAGTTTGAATGTTTGGAATAGAAATAAAACAAAACAAAAAAATTCATGGGTCAAACTCACGACTTTTACATTACAAAGTCTACCTTTACCAATGCTACCATGTGGGAATTACATTGGCTGTGTCCAATTAGTCTATGAAAAGGCCGACGAGGGAAGTCATTCTAGGCCAGTAAAAACTCTTTTTGGTTGCTTCATTCATTCATCTTTTCCGTCTTTGCGTATTGCAGAGTTATCTTCTCTTGGGAACAGGTATTGATTGTTACGTCATTTGTTTGTGTGAGAAAATTACGTCGTTTTCTCAAAAATTTAAGACGTTACTCTCTTAAACAAGTGACGTAACAATCAATACCTGTTCTCAAGAGAAGAGATAACTCTGCAATATGCAAAGACGGAATATAGAAAGGAGAATACTCTAAGACAAAAACTCTCCAAGAGGAACTCTTCTTCACGATTACAAATAATACTGTGGTACACTTAACCTTAAAACACACATGAATCTTCAGCACATTGGGGTAACCTGACTGGGTGAAACTTATAATAAATACGTAGTAATGTATCATGGTTAAAGTATCGTCTTTGTTTGAGTGGAGTGCTCAGTCTTTTTGCCCTTGAGCAATAAGAAAAATGCAAGAAGGGCAGAAATTGTGATATATCTTTAAAGCAGCAGGAAGAAAATTTGGCACTGGGCAAAATTTGTGCAGACAGCTAAAAAATAAAAAATACAGCTGAACACAAATTTAAAGTTGTACAGAATATTACATTAATGTGCCAAAAAATCATATTCATATGATTAAAATACACATTTTGTTTTCAAAGCTGGTGATTACGAATTAGGACATCGGATCTTAAAGATCTTTATTTAGAAATTAACAAGTTTAAACTGTGGTGGTCAAACTCCCGGTCAGGTTACTGCGTTACAGGACTTGGTCTTATCACCCTTTGTTTCTTGGACTCGGGATATACCTTATGAATATTCATGAATTTGCATCATCCTTTTGACCGCAGGTGAGAAGGATCCTAATAGCACACCTGTCCCCGCACAACGAAAAACTCTTTCTCGCTCTCTCTTAGCTGAAGGTAAATCCTGCCTTTTGTGCCGTACTGCAAGATGCTTGGTGTTGTGTAGTGTTGACACGTTTCTGTAGATTTATGCTATCACTGGTTGGAAACCCTTTATACCTACAGCTTTTGTAGTTTCGTAATTTTTATTTTCATTTGTAGTACTCAATATATGTGGTAGTTTGCTGTCAATTTAATGCTTAAATGTTGTGAAAATGTATCCTGATGCTTTTGGTGTTTTGCTTTGAGCGACCGTTCATGTTATTGTTTAAAGCCAAAACAAATTATGTATGTTTCAGGTAGCATGACTGAAAAATAGGGTAGGTCGGTCAGGATGTATTTTTATTTTTTTTATTTTTTATTTTTTAAGGGTTGCATTGGGGTTATTTCAAAAATTACAAAAATCACCAAACATATTTTAAGCCTTTTGGATTTAAATTTGGTTTTGATACCAGCTTATAAATCAGAGAGAGTATATACATAGTTGCCTTGTTTGTTCATCCATCAATTTGGTCGTATCCAGTGGACAAGTAATCAAAACACTGGATAAAGTGCTTTCGAGTGAGATCAAATCGGTAGGGTCGATCGGGGAACCTGAAACACACATATTGTTTTTTTTGCCTAAATGTCAGTTTTAAATTACTGAATATTAATTGGGTTTTTTGCCTAAATATCAGTTTTAAATTACTGAATATCAATTATCAGTATTTACCATTGATTACGTAAAAGTGGAAAGTCGCATGTGGAAAGTTTTTGCGTTGCAGTTCTTTAAATTAGTCACAGTGGGTTGTTGCCAATGGTTCTGAAATCTGTATTATATCTATGTAATCTATTATGTAAGGGACTATGCATAGTTTGGGCCATTTTTTGGCCCCCAAATCCATCAAAATTAAAAATCTTCAATAGAACTTTCAAATGACTGTTTCTTTTATTTTGAATACTTCCCTGGTACTATTATGTGAACATTTATTTAGGTTTTCAATTATGGCTGCCATGGTAACCAGTTAATACTTGTACAAATTAATGAAATTTGAATATTCAGTAAATTTTGACAGGTTTTTGCCTAGTTTTTCTCTTAGTTACCATAGAGCGCACTCTTGAACAAACTTTATATTTCTCCTAAAGATGTATTACAGGTGCCTACACATTATCCTTTGATTTTGAGTTTGTTCAATGATGCGCTCTACAGTTTCCAGGAGAAAGACTATGCAAAATGTGACAAAATTCACTGAATATTCAATTTTTTCTAATTTATGCAAATTTGAACTTGTTACCATGGCAACAATAATTAGAAACACAAATAACTATTTTCATGATAGTGTTTGGGAAGTATTCAAATTAAAAGAAACAGTCATTTCAAAGTTCATTTAAAGGTTCTGAATTTTGATGCATTTGGGGGCCAAAACACACCCAAACCATACATAGTCCTTTGTACTCAAATATTTACACACAAATTTACTCAATGCAAAAAAAATAAGTGACACCATGACAATTTCCACTTTTTCAGTATACTTAACGTATCTGTGATGGTACAAGTCATTTAAATCGTTTAATGTGTCTGTGATAATACACACATGAATACATAAACATTCCAGATACAATAGATAAAAATCATTCTGTGCTGTTGATTTGTTCATTGTTTGTCTACTATAGAAATTAAATGAATTCCAAAATTACTTACTTGATCGCAACAACACTACCTTGAATTGTTACTGACTGAGTATGATATAAGTCGAGTTTGTGATGTCTATTTCTGGGTTAGGTTTAGCCTTGTCCAACACGCCTGGTCCAGGTAGATAGTCGAGTGCATGTGGTTCAATGATTGAATTTCTTATTTAAGTTACATCTTTCAACACTAACAGACTCACAAACCAGTTTAATATCATATTCAGTCACTTAAATACTTCATATCTAAACATATACAGTAAGTTTGATCATTAATATGATAGCAGCTGGGAGAAGTTGTAGAATTCAATGATATTTTTATCTTAAGGAAATACCACTAGCATTGATAGGTTTCAGTTATATAGATTGTGAAGAAACCTTTTAAATTAGATATTAAACATTAACTCATTCACTCCTGAAGACACATTTGAACTCTTCCAATTCAAAGGTTGGAATAGTTCATTATCAAACTTCAGGGGTGAATGATTTAAGGAGGTTGTAATGTTCAATTTCAGATTTAGTGTTGTCATAGAGAAAATCAGTGTAATTTTATCAGAACATTACCTATAAAAAGTAAACACACTGCATGCATTCCTCACATGATGTAGCTATATATAGTCTTAAGCTGTTCATTTTTAGCTCACCTGGCACGAAGTGCCAAGTGAGCTTATGGCGTGGCGCGGCGTCCGTCGTCCGTCCGTCCGTCCGGCGTCCGGCGTCAATATTTTACTTTAAACGACTTCTTCTTAATAACCGAAAGGCCTAGGGTGTCAATATTTGGCCAGAAGCAAACTTGGATGAAGGGCTACAAAGTTTGTTCAAATAAATGACCTTCACCTATTTTCAAGGTAACAGGGGTCAAATATGTCAAAAACTTTAAACATCTTCTTCTCAATAACCAAAATGCCCAGGGAGATGATATTTGGCCAGTAGCATGCTTGGGTGAAGGGCTACCAAGTTTGTTCAAATGAATGACCTTCAATTATATTCAAGGTCACAGGGGTCAATTGTATTAAAAAACCTTTAAACAACTTCTTCTGAATAACCAAAATGC